AACAGATTTAATGATCTGTCCTCATGCTAATACGTGCATATATGACACATCCATTGATATGCCTTTTGTTACTGTGTGTTGAGTGCAAACTTGTGTGCATGTACAAAACATATGATTAATTTCAGAGCTAACGTGCGCTGACATAGCACACCTTCACTTGAATGAATTCCCCCTACTTAATCAGTGAAATTTTGAATTCAGTATAATTAATGCTTAAAAGATGAAAAAATAAATAAATTTATCCCGCAAAATGACACAACAAGTTCTACAAGACAGCTGTGAGAGGCTGAGTTACTGTTGGCGTAGCAACCGTCACAGCTCGTCCTCGCCACCCTCCTCGAAAATGATCGATTTTCTTTAATTTTCTTCTGCATCTTCCACCAAAGAAGGAGAGGGAGGGAGAGGAAAAAAATGAATAAATAAAAAAGAGGAGGCTATCTGTAACCTATCCCTTCATCCTGGCATGAGCTATTCAATCCTGTCTATTAGATTTACTGGAGAGGAGCAAGACATTAACACAGGCACACAGGGAAAAAAAAAAGAGAGAAGGAAAACACTGCCACAGATAATGTGGATGTTTCATGCATAATCTCTAATATGAGAAATGTATTAATAGGGAAATTATTGTGCATTCAATTATTTTGAAATGGCTGGCTGAGATGTTGTGATTTGGCGGTGTCCTGAAAGCAGTGGCGCAGCAGGGAGCTCGGTGAGTGATGAATAACTTAATCTCCTAATCCGAAAATGGGCAGCGATCAACGGTACCGCTCTACGGAGCGGCCAATAAAATGAAAGCACCGAAGAATGACAGATGAGAGCTGGGAGAAGGCGAGGAAATAAGAAATAGATAAACAAATAGAACAATAAAGCAGACGGTTTTAAAGCAGCGTAATTCTGTCACATTCATTAAAGCCAGAGAGCAAAATAAAACAATGCGAGATGGAGTGGCAGAAACATTACCTTTAATGTGGGTATCGTGTGGCGCGTTTGATGAGCTGCTGGCTCGGCTTTATGTCCGCTATTCAGTGTGACTCTGAACGAAATCAACACGGGATCTTTAATCAACCTGAAAAAAAGCCAAGCTTTACGGAACTAAACTACATCCCTGTCAGTGTGTACAGTTTGTACAGTTGTAGAAATGTGACACCCAATTTAGAATACGAGAATGATTTCTAAAGGATCATGTGACAGTTATTTTAGATTATAATAATATTTCACAATATTACTGTTTTTATATATTTTTAATTAAATAAATTCAGTCTTGGTGAGTCTTTTTTGGCTCCTTTGATTTCATCATGTTCTCACTTAGGTTCAACAGTATAGCATGGCGTGAATTTGAGCGACATAATGGTGAAAATCAAGAGAAAAAAAAGGTCAGGTAGCAGTGCCTCTATAGCATTGTAAATAATAGGAGAAAAATAGGAGACGTTGCCACCACATTTCACTGATAACTATATTAACAAATTATACTTTTAATATGTTCAGGTCTTGCAGTGCAGTGTATACAGTACACCCACAGTCAGATGATTGCAGGTCATTTGTATGTTGTCAGCGTGTTTGTATTGTCCTCTGGGCTGAAATAGCATCTGTTTGGCCCTGTTATGTGTACATGTACAAGGAGCCAGTGTCCAACCGTGCCCTGAGAGACTGAAGAATTGTGTCATCAGAAGGTCAAGGAGTCTCTCTCTCTCTCTCTCTCTCTCTCTCTCTCTCTCTCTATCTCAATTACAGAACTGCAGAGGTGTAAGGTATTTGAGTAGTACTTCACTACATTTGTAAGTATTTTTTGGGGGAATCTACTTTTTATAAGTTAAAACCAAATACTTTTGCTCAAGGTAAAAACAATACCTTTTACTCCCTTACGAGGGTGATTAAATGATGACACAATGTTTATTTTGGTTGAACTATCCCTTTTAGGTAAAGACTTTAAACTATAGTATTGGTTTTGATAGTAACTGTCAAGTGCAAACCTGGTTCGTGATTAGTCTAAAATTCACTATATTCAAATGTCAAAACACTGAAATCATTTACTGAAATGTTTCATGCGGTTTGCTTTACTTTAACATCTGCTTTTTCTTAGAGTTTTGAATAGTCAGAGCAATGTAACAATGTAAATGTAACCGTAATATTTGACAGTTTCTTTACAAAGTTTAAGAAAATCTCTGCTGCCTCTTGTTTTCAAAGTCAATTTAAAAAGTGTATAATTTTTCAACTTTTAAATGCGCTTAAGTATGATTAAATGTGAATAATTTTTGTAAGTATTTTGACTTTTAGGTGAGTAAAAGTTTTGTACATTTTCTCAGTACTTTTTACAGTTTGATTGAAAATTAAAAGTTTTTATTGAACTTTTGTTTTTTTATTTTTATTTAGTTGCATGATACCAAAGATGAAACCTTTCTGCCGCAAAAGACTTATCAATATTGTATTGTATTAATTATTTATTTATTACTTTTTAAAATAGCATGCACTGATTAATCATTCACAATTTTTTGTGAATGATTATCATTATTTTAAATGTTTTTTTTATGGATGTTTGTGTTTGCTGTGCTTTTTTTCAGAAAGTGCTGCGTGATTTTGCACTCTTCTATTGTATTCTCTTCTATTTCTATTCTCTTATATGCACAAAGAAGACAAACATATCCATTTATAATGTGTTTGTAGAAAGTAGTATCAGGATATTTAACAGTTTTGCCACAAAGATTCTTGTTTAAACATAACTTAAACCATTAATATTTTTTGTGGTATGGATGTTTGTGTTTGCTGTGCTTTTTTTCAGAAAGTGTTGCGTGATTTTGCACTCTTCTATTGTATTCTCTTCTATTTCTATTCTCTTATATGCACAAAGAAGATAAACATATCCATTTATAATGTGTTTGTAGAAAGTAGTATCAGGATATTTAACAGTTTTGCCACAAAGATTCTTGTTTAAACATAACTTAAACCATAGAAGTGATCACCTGTTTCGTGATAAGCACATAGCACAACACCATCTGCAATATGTCACAACAAACCATTATTTTGTCTCTGATGGTACATGTGTTTAATTGATAACACTAAAATGTCTTTGCCTCTGGCTTTTTCTCTAAACAATTGAAGCGATTTTTTTGTGACAGAAGGCATTACTAGTGTTAGAGGAGGAGTTTGCTGGATATGCGTGTGTGTGTGAGGGTGTGAGGCTCACGTTAGCGTGTTGAGGGTCCGTGCGAGGGCTGAATGACAGGCAGCAGACGGGCAGGTCAGGTAGCATGTGGCGTATGGCAGGGATGCTTCCTGTGTCTAAACAGTAGCGTGTATAAGTGTAGACCTGGCCTTCTCTGACAGTAAGACACCACACAGCTGCTGGCTTGATTGAGACAGGTCAGGTAGCATGTGGCGTATTGCAGGTATGCTTCCTGTGTCTAAACAGTAGCGTGTATAAGTGTAGACCTGGCCTTCTCTGACAGTAAGACACCACACAGCTGCTGGCTTGATTGAGACATCTGTATGAAGCAGATGGAGTTTGAGAAAGAACTGGGTTTGATGTCTATCACTGACATTTAAACGACACAGCACTGCGTTCACTCAGCTGACGCTGGACAGGAGACCACTCGTGAGATTGACTGCTAGACCTGGACTGCGTCTTCAAGACTGCTGACGGTCTCAAAAATACCATTTGTTTCATCAAGTTTGCCTTGCTTCATGTAATCATAACTACTGTAAATTCCACCGTTTATAGCAAGAGCAGATTTGTAAAAAGTTTTGTATTTTCGTTGAAGACGGGGCTTCTAATGTAGTGTCTTTTTTTATTTATGTTCCCCCATTGACATGTCAAGGGCCTTTTTGAGCATTTTCTGCACTGATTTTGGGTGAAAATGTGTGAAATTGAGCAGACTGTATATAAACATGCTCAGATGGGTTATATGAAGGGAGCCACACCATGTTGTACTGCACTTTTGTGACTAATAGAATAATCACATTAAATACATAAATGTGTTAACTCAAATTATAGTGGTAATCGGTTAGCATTATCATTTATATTATCAATAGTCACAACTGAAAAATAATCAATACTGTGGGTGAGAAACAGACAGATATTCTGTTTGTTTATATTTTTTTTTTGACAGATCCCTCAATAAAGGATTTAATAGGGTTTAGAAGTGAAGATGTGCAATCTGGCGAAATAATTAGATTAGTAATTGGACATTATTAATTAAACAATGCAAACAAATCGCTATAGCACAGTGTTGTAAAAAAAATCACAAAAAAAAATTACATTTTAAAATATTAAAATAGTTATTTTAAATTATAATATTTCACAATATTACTGTTTTACTGTATTTTTGATCACATAAATATAGCCTTCGTTAGCATAAATGACTTGTTTTAAGAACATTAAAAAAATATTAGTGCTGTCAAACATTTAATCGCGATTAATCGCATCCAAAATAAAAGTTTTTGTTTGCATAATATATGTGTGTGTACTGTGTATATTTATTATGTATATATATACAAACACTTGCATGTATATATTTCAGAAAAATGTTATGTTTATAAAATATATTTTTATAAAATATAAATGATATGAATATAAATATATACATGTAAATATTTTCAAAATATACTGTATGTGTGTATTTATATATACATAATAAATATACACAGTACACACACATATATTATGCAAACAAAAGCTTTTATTTCGGATGTGATTAATCGTTTGACAGCACTAAAACATATGTTTGATATTTGCAGTGTAACTTAATTATGAAGTATGGTGATTGTGATCTGAATTTTGAAAACACATTAATGATGGGTGTAAATCAGGACAATCTACTATGAATGCCATGCCATCCACATAAATTTATATAAACTTGAATACATTACAGTACACATAATTTTGCATTATTTTCATTGAAAGGAACTGAAAATATTGTGATTTAGTTAATCTATTGAAACAACAAATTGTTTAGTATACAATTAATTAGTATTTTTTGTTTTGTTTTATAGGTTTTCTTCGGAAGTACCCTGTGAAACCTGCTGGTGTAAACTTACCTCTGATTGGGACTCACTGATGTAATGGACAAACAAGCACAAAATGTGTCGATATCCACATCAAATCTCCCAGGTGTGTATTTGTGTCTACTGTGTTCGTTATTTATCTACAATCCTGTTTAGGATGACTGTGATTTGTCAAATTCTTTCAAGTGTGAGAATATCTCTCTCATTCTCTCTCTATCTCTCTCTCTCTCTCGCCGCGCTGCTGTAAATAAATAAAAGATAGGGTCTGGTGATACAGCAGGTCTCAGATGTGTAAAAGCCACAACTCTCATATCAGATCTGGATTTGTGTCTCACGCCAGGGAGTGCAAACACACAGTTGCAGCCTTCCAAAACATAAACACACTTCCTCCATTTTCCTCCCTCTTTGTCCTTTCCTTTTTTCCCCTCTGCCTTATTAATGTCTATTCCTTGCTGTGTTGGCCAAGCAGGCCGTGATTCCTAATGAACACACGGAAGACCCCCGGGCAGCACTTTAACTTTAAAACGTCTATTATTAAGGATCACCAAAACACCACTGGTGACCTTGCAGAAATGTAGAAACTTGCCTTTTTCTCGATATCTCTACATTTCTCCCAACACGAGAACCGAGAGCAGGTGTGGATCTGTGAGCCACCTAAAGTCTGACGGCTGAGCTTGCTTTTGGTTGCCATAGCATTGCGATTATTAAGAGATCCAGTGGCTGTCTGGTTCCTCTTTTATGATTCTCAGACTGAATAAAAATTTAAAAGGCCATTAAACACCATTACTCCCTCCATCACAGGTGTCACTGCCAGCGATGCAGAGTAAAGTAGCTTATTTTTCTATTAGGTGGAGAGAGAAAGAGAGAGAGAGAGGCCGATTTTAAGACCAGTGCAAATGAATCTTTGCTCTAGAATGGCCAAACGGTCAGACTCTAATTAGCCTGCCCTGCTCCTCTTTATCTAATGGAGCTTTGAGCGCTGAAAAGGGTAAGCCTTTCCAAACATCTAAATGGCTTATATTAGGCTTGCTTGGCTCAATGGGAGTTTGACCATCCTTGAGTGTGTGAAGGGCAAATGGGGGTTTTGAGTCTAAACTTGAGCAAGAATGAACGGCATGATTGACTAGAAGAAACATGAGGAGAAGTGGTGATTTGAGATGTTTGCTTTTGTGAGCCCTTTCCTAGTGGTATCGATCAGGCCGATTATTAGGCTGATATTTAGAATTTCAAAGTTTATTTTAAGTCAAAATTTTGCACATATTGCAAATATTGGTTTTAATGTAAATCTTGATTCAGTTTACAAATAATATAATTTGTGTTTAGTGTACTGTATAAATAGCATGTTCACATTATATATACATTTATATTTGGGGTTGTTGCTAAAAGTCACACGTACGGTGGCCCAGTAGTGCACAACACAACGAAATCTTCACAACACAACAACATCTTCACAACACGGAAACACAACGGAAACAAGGTGCAACATAGGCCTGTCACGATAACAACTTT